GGGGATCCCCTTTGCCTGTGGGGTCACTGTTATAGGACACCAGCTCCTGCAGCTTTGGGCTGAGCTGTAATTGCCCACTGACCTGTTGGTTTAGGKCTCAGAAATGCAGGGAACACCAACTCTGTCCCCATTTTTAGCCCCAGTTCCCCAGTGTGTGAATGCATGAGGCTGCCAGGGAGGAGCTGGTTCTGTTTTGCTTCAGTTCAGCCCTGATTTCCCTCAGGCCTTTCCTTCCCAAAGGCGAAATGCAGGTCAGCAGTGAAGCTGCTGGTTGTGTTGGGTGTGTGAAGCTGGCATTGCTCAGTCAGGGTGATGGCTGTTCCAAAAAAACCCTTCTGGAACTACAGCTGAGACATTTCTGCTTTGCTCGTGGCACCTGGCTCTGTGTGAAGATTCTTCACCAGCTGCTTTGAGTTCCCCAGGCTGGCAGGGAAGAGCAGCTTTCTATTTCATTGTCCTGAATCCTGCCAGGAGWGCAGAAACCCTAAAATGAGCCACTGCTCTGGTTGAGACTTCTGCCACAGATGAGGATCCCAAGGGCCCTGCTTGGAGGGAGCAAGGCACAGGGATTTTTCCAGAGATCTTTCACCAAAATGTATCTGTTTCTTTTTTTTTTTTTTTTTTTTTTGCCTTCACAAGGAAAAAGTTGGACCTTGATAATGTTCATGGTTAGCTGTGGGCTTAAATAATACATGAGTTTTTCAGAGCTAAAAATCTTCAGGAAAGAATGGAATTAATTGCCCCCCTGGCTATGGCTGTTTCTAAAAGGCTGYGCTTAGAAAAGTATAAATTTGCACAAAGAGTTCAAAGGTCCATTTCCTTCTCTGCAGGAGGGCTGGGCTGATATTTTGGCAAAGCTTCAAACGCAGAAGCTCCGTGATGGCTCGATGCCAGTGAGAGGGATGGTTTGATTTGTGGTTTTGGTGTTTGCCCTGGGCTGGCTCTGAGTGGGGCTCTGGCCGGGCTGAGGGTGTGAGCAAAGCTGGGTGAGGGTGGGGATGACCCAAGGGTGGAGATGACCCAAAGGTGGTGATGACCCAAGGATGGTGATGACCCAAGGGTGGAGATGACCCAAAGGTGGTGATGACCCAAGGATGGTGATGACCTGAGGATGGAGATGACCCAAGGATGGTGATGACCCAAGGATGGAGATGACCCGAGGGTGGAGATGACCTGAGGATGGAGATGACCCAAAGGTGGTGATGACCCAAGGGTGGTGGTGACCCGAGGATGGAGATGACCCGAGGATGGTGATGACCTGAGGGTGGTGATAACCCAAAGGTGGTGATGACCCGAGGATGGAGATGACCCGAGGATGGAGATGACCCAAAGGTGGTGATGACCCGAGGGTGGTGATGACCTAAAGGTGGTGATGACCCGAGGGTGGTGATGACCTGAGGATGGAGATGACCCGAGGGTGCTGCTGTCCTGAGGGTGCTGACCAGCACTGCCCAGTGTCCACTCTCTCCCTCCAGCCAGCCCCAGGGCTCAGGGGCTCATCTGGCCCATCCCTTCTTCTCTCCAAAGACTTTTCCGAGCTTTGTCCTGCTTTTCGTGTCACCAAGCTGCTCCCAGCGGCAGTTCTGGAGTGCTTTTCATGAGTAAATACYCAGAAAAGTAACAATGGCTGTTTCTCAGGAGGATTTAGGTGGTTTTTAAGGTACAAGATGCCCTTTTACACTTTGTCTTTTGAAACACTTAGACCAGCTGATGGTTAACTTTAAATCCTGGTGTTGCTGGAGCAGAGTTCATCACCCAGACTAATCTCCACTGCTGGAGATTGCTCTGCTGACCTCACAGAGSAAAGGAAACCCCTTGAAAGGGCAATCTCATCTATTCCAAACATGATGGCAAAACTTCTGTGCACCAACACGAGCCAAGCAAGGGATTTAGAACTTTCCTTTTGTTTAGATCCTCTCTTTCATTTGGTGCTGGCTGTTGATCTGCAGTGGGGAGCCTGATGTTCTSTCCTGCTGAGCTCCAGAGCAGCTGCTTTTTCTGCTTCAGGATTGCTTTTCCTCCCATTTTGGGGGCACAGAGCAGGCAGTTCCTCCTCCCTGGTGCAGAGCTGAGCAGAGATTGTCCTGTTTTATTGTCCTGTGCAGCTTTATTCTGTCTCTGCAGCTGTAAAAGGGTCTGGAGAAGGGATCTGCACTGACTTTTAATTTTATGTGAGATTTCCCTGCAGGAGATATTTGTGTCTGACAAAACAGGACAGACCTAGATTTGCTTTCCAGGGATGGTGTAGCTCACAGGAAGGAGCTGTGTTTTAGGCCAGGGTTTCCTTTTTATTTATTTATATCTTTTTGCTTTCCTRCTTTCTTTATGGCAAATTATAAATGGTTGATAAACACCTGTACTAAAACACAGATATACACGGGCAAATCATCCTTTTTTTCCATTAAAGAAAGCCGTTACTTACTGTGTGGAGAGTACAYATCCTCCTAAGAGATCAAATTATTTATGGCAGTGCACTAATTAGCTTTTTCAAGGCTTCTAAGGTCTTGCAGATGCTTGCAGCTCCAGGGATAATTGCAGTAGGTAAATACCTCTCTGCATGGAGAATCATTTTGTGTGAAGTGACAGCAGGAGCTGCCAGAGGGGTTTTTGTCCAGTGGAGCCCTGGACTTTGCAGGAGTGGTCAGTGCTGGCCAGTTCAGGGTCCAGGGCTTTGCAGGAGTGGTCAGTGCTGGCCAGTTCAGGATTTAGGGCTTTGCAGGAGTGGTCAGTGCTGGCCAGTTCAGGATTTAGGGCTTTGCA